GAGGGAGGTTTTTGTAGGTTGTGGGTGTCATGGTTGAGGTTTGGGGGAGCGGGTGGGTAGGTGTGGTGGGAAGGTTGGGTTGGAAGGGTGGGGTTGGGTTGTCTGTGGGGGTGGAGAGAAGGTTGAGTGTTAATTTTTTTTTTGTTTTTTTGCTTGTATTTTTTTATCTCTTTCTCTCTCTCTCTCTCTTTTCTCTCTCTTTCTCTTCTCTTTCTTTTTCTCTTTCTCTTTCTCTTTCTCTCTCTCTCTCTCTCTCTCTCTCTCTCTCTCTCTCTCTCTCTCTCTCTCTCTCTCTCTCTCTCTCTCTCTCTCTCTCTTTTCTCTCTTTTTTCTCAACCTCTTTCTTTCTTTTCTCCCTCTCTCTCTGTCTCTCGCTCTTTCTTTTTATTCTTTCTTTAAGTAGCTGTGGACCAAACACGCCCATACATACATTTATTCAAATTATTTTGGAATTACTATGATTTAAATCCAACTTAATTGAAAAGTTTTAATTTAGAAAGGGACTGAAATTTGAAAATCATTTAATTTCATTTACAGCTTTGGAATTTAGAATTTACCAAATTATTTTCTCTGGAATTTGCGTTGGAAAGAATTTACCAAATTATTTTTTCATCTGAATAGACATAGAAAAATGTACATGGAATAAGACATATTATCCACATGTGTGTGTATAATTGGTGTGTTTATGTTTCTTTGTTTGTATGTATGTGTGTGTGTTGTGTGTTGTGTGTGTGGTTGTGGTGTGTGTGTGTGAGTGATGGCATTTTACCTGTTTGTATATTGCTATTTCGTCCTGGTTATTATTATTATCATTATTATTATTATATTATATTATTATTATTATTATTATATATATATATACATATATATATATATATATATATATAATTATATATTATATATATAATATATATTATTATAATATATGTACGTATGAATATATATATACATATATATAATATATATATATATATATATATATATATATATATATATATATATATATATATATATATATATATATTATATATAATAATATATATATATATATATATATATATATATATATATATATATATATATATATATATATATATATATATATATATATATATATATATATATATATATACTATATATGTGTGTGTGTGTGTGTGTGTGTGTGTGATGTGTGTGTGTGTGTGTGTGTGTGTGTGTGTGCTGGTGTGTGTGGTTGTGGTGTGTGTGTGTGTGTGTGGTGTATATGTATAAAATGGGTTATGTAATTTGTATTAAACCCAACCATAGGTGGTACCAGTAAGAATATACACTGTATGGGTTTTATACAAATTCATGAATAGATTGAACAAACTGTCATTCTCAAACTGAATATAAAAACATAGTTACATTAATATTTTCTTAGAATATAGAGGAAAGAAAAAAAAAAGAAACAATAAGAATTTAAAACGCCGAAAAAAATGGAAGAAAAACACAAGCAGAAATCACAACAAACTTCAAACAGGTGATAAATGTCAAAGGCACAACAATATCTCTCTTAAATCACGAGATAATGATCCACATCCGGGAACTGAAGACCTTTTGTGTACAAAACCTGAACCACAGTTTATGCTGTATAGAAGCGTGGGTATTTGTTGGGACGGAGGGATAGAGGCAGATAGATAGACAGAGGCAGAGGCAGACCAGATAGACTTATAGTATAGAGAGATAGACAGGCATATAGACAGGGGTAAAGAGAGAGAGAGAGAGAGAGAGAGAGGAGAGAGAGAGAGAGAGAGAGGACGAGAGAGAGAGAGAGAGAAGAGAGAAGAGAGAGAGAGAGAGAGAAGAGAGAGAGAGAAGAGAGAGACAGATAGTAGACAGGGAAAAAAGAGACAGACAGGAGACAGGGGTGAGAGGAGAGAGAGAGAGAGACAGACAGACAAGCAAACGCAGAGACAAAAGGAGACAAACATACAGATAAATAGACGGAAACAAAGGCAAAAGAGCAGAAAAGAGAGAAATAACTAATACACGATTTTACTAATATAGTCTCTCTCTCTCTCCTCTCTCTCTCTCTCTCTCTCTCTCTCTCTCTTCTCTCTCTCTCTCTCTCTCTTCTCTCTCTCCTCTCTCTCTCTCTCTCTCTCTCTCTCTCTCTCTCTCTTCATTTCATCACTTAATCTGTCTTTATATATCGCATATTCACTATAATTTACATTTAAATAGTCAAGTAGTTCCTATGTCTTTGCTAGTCGTTAATTTTTAAGATATATTTAGGCATATCAGGTATGTACTATATATATTTTAGGCTTGAATTAGGTATATTTGATGGGTATATTTCAGGAATACTTTAGGTATACTTTAGAAATAATTTATGTATTAGGATATAATTTAGGCATTTTTAGATACATTATGGATATATCAAGAGTATGATTCAGGTATATTTTAGGTATATTTTAGATACATTAGACTACATCAGTTATAGGTATATTAGGAAGTATATTTTAGGTATATCTAGATACATCTAGATACATTATAGGTATATTAGGTAGATTTCTAGATACATCATAGGTATATTTTATATTTATAGGTCATTATTTTAATTCTAGATACCTATATTAGAAGTATATTTTATATATTCTAGTCATAGGTATATTTTAGGTGCATTATAGGTATATTAGAAGTATATTTTAGGTATATTCTAGATATATTATTGGTATATTAGAAGTATAATTTAAGTTTATTTTTGGTAGAATAATTACCATTAGCCCAAAATCTCTTTCATTTTCCACCTGGCGTTTTTGCATATCATAAACCAAGTAAAAGCAGAAGAAATAAGAAAGTGTAAATTGCATGCAAACGCAAATTATGTTTATTACATGTATTTTTACTTACGTCTTTCTCCGTTTTTTTTTTTTTTTTTTTTTTTTTTTTGAAATTCTTTTTACATATTCGCAGATGCAGTCACTATTAAAATTTCTTCTGCTTGGACCCTGCTTTCTCTCTTTGTACTCTCTGCACCTACTTCGTACTCTCTGACTTTCCTGTCTTTATCATCATTATAAAAATCCAAACCTATATTTAATTTCCTTTTATGGGAAGCTTGCAAAAGTAGCTTTTTAATCTAATCTTCTTTTTAAATTATTTCCTTTTTGGGAAGCTTAAAAAGTAGCTTATTAACCAATCTTCTTTTTAAATTAATTCCTTTTTGGGAAGCTTATAAAAGTATTTTATAAGTATCTTTATTTTTTTATTTCCTTTTTGGGAAGCTTACAAAGTAGTTTTTTTTAATCCATTTTTTTTTTTCCTTTTTGGTAAGCTTACAATATTTTTTCATTCTTTATTTTTATCAATTTTTTTCTATTTCCTTTTTGAGAGAAGCTTTATTTTTTTCAATCCAGTCTTTTTTATTATTTCCTTTTTTTGGTAAGCTTACAAAAGTATTTTTTTCTTTCTCTCGGGAGCTTCCAAGAACTGAAAGCAAAGATGAGATGAGATGACCGGAAACGGCAGACGAAAATGATACTTTTTGCGTTTTGATTTTAGGGTCATGGGAATTTTCTTCTTTTTTTTAGAAAAAATATATACTTGAATATATACATGTAGTTTTTTTTTTCTTTCTTTTTTCTTCTTCTTTAGACGATTTCTCTTCTTCTCTGATTATTTTTTTTATAATTCCTTTCTCTTTATTTTTTATTCTAATTCCTTGAGATAAAATATATCCATGAATACATACATGTACGTCTTTTTTCTGTCTCTTTTTCTTCTTCTTCTTCTTTAGACGATTTCTCTTTAGTTTCCTTCTCTTTGATTATTTTCTCTTTAATTCCTTCATCTATATTTTTCATTTTAATTCCTTTCTCTTTCTCTGTCTCTTTCATTCTTTATTTTCATGTGGTTGTTACAGTGATAATATTTTTCTCTTTTTTCAGATTTTTTCCATAGTTGCCCTTTCTATCTGATTGCCTTTATATCTATCTTTCTATCTTTCCACCTGTCTGTCTATCTATTTAGCTATCTTTCCATCATACCTTCACACAGACACACACACACACGCATGCACACATACTTACGCACGCACACATACACACACGCACGCACACACACGCACACACACACGCACGCACACACACACCGCACGCACGCTCACCACGCACACACACACACAACACACACAACACACACACACACAACACACACACACACACACCAACACACACACACACACACACACACACACACACACACACACACACACACACACCACAACACACACACGCACACACAAACACCACACACACAGATATATTTACATATATATGTAAGTGCCTGATTGACTGTGTCTTTCCCAGTGTGATGGAGTGACATGACGCCTTCTTAGCCTAAGCGACAAATTATACTCTACACCACCTCCGCATCCCCTCCTGCCATTGTGTCCATCCTCACCCACCCTCTCACCACCCACGTTCCTGCGGTGTCCACCCTCCACCCCCCACCTCTCACGCCAAACACCCACCCACCCGCTCTACCCACCCCTCCACCCACCTCTCACGCACCCCCTCCACCCCCTCCACCCGTCACCCTCCACACCACCTACCCATCCACACCCTCTACCCACCCCTCACCCTTTTACCCCCTCCACCTACTCCAACCCCACCCCTCACCCTCTACCCCCTCCACCCACTTCCAACCCCACCCCACCCACCTCCACCCACCCCAACCCCACCCCACCCCCCTCCCACCCATCCCACCCCCCACCCTCACCCCCCCACCCACCCACCACCCACCACCCCTCCAACCCACCCCACCCACCCCAACCAACGACCCCACACCCACCCCAACCCCACCGCCAACAAACCCCACCCCACCCACCCCAACGCGAAGATCCAACCCACACCCCCCCGCAACGCAAGTCATCTGTTAAGAAATTGTTATAACGCCTTGCAAATGAGGCGAAAATAGAAACAGAGAGAGAGAGAGAGGAGAGAGAGAGAAGAAGACAGCAGAACAGAACAGACAGACAGA